TTACCAATTCCACACCACACAATTAATAAGATACAATGTGATTGTCAGATGGCCAGAGGGAATCATGATCACTTGGCAGGAGAAAAAGTTTAAGATAGACACATTAGATAAGGCACACAAGTTCTTCGAACACCACTTCACAGCTGAGGAAGAACAAGAGAGGAGGGAAGAGGCAGAAAGTAGTTAAGAAGAGCAGCTAATAGAGGATAGGGAGGTAGAAAAAGAAGAAGGAAAGAAACAGGAAAGAGAACATGCAGAATGAGAGGGTGCAAGAAGAAGAATAGAGACAAGGACTACGAGAAAACAGGACCGTATACAAATAGTGAAATGGAAGAAGAAAGATCACGTGAAGTGTTAATACCACTTTACAATGCCTTGGTAAGGCCACACTTGGAATACTGCATTCAGTTTTGGTCGCCACAATATAAAAAAGATGTGGAGACTCTAGAAATAGTGCGGAGAAGAGCAACAAAGATGATTAGGGGACTGGAGGCTAAAACATATGAAGAACGGTTGCAGGAACTGGGTATGTCTAGTTTAATGAAAAGGACTAGGGGAGACATGATAGCAGTGTTCCGATATCTCAGGGGTTGCCACAAAGAAGAGGGAGTCAAACTATTCTCCAAGGCACCTGAGGGTAGAACAAGAAGCAATGGGTGGAAACTAATCAAGGAGAGAAGCAACTTAGAACTGAGGAGAAATTTCCTGACAGTTAGAACAATTAATCAGTGGAACAGCTTGCCTCCAGAAGTTGTGAATGCCCCAACACTGGAAGTCTTTAAGAAGATGTTGGATAGCCATTTGTCTGAAATGGTATAGGATTTTCTGCCTAGGCAGGACTAGAAGACCTCCAAGGTCCCTTCCTACTCTGGTATTGTATTGTATTGTGTTGTATTAAGATGGTTTCAATAAATATAAATGGACTAAGCTCACCCGAGAAAAGAAGACAAACCTTGACAAAATTACAAAACTTGAATACGGATATTGTGTGCCTTCAAAAGGCACACATTAAAAGTCACTCCAGTAAAGTACTAGAAAATTCAAAAATAGGAAAACTATATGCAGCATTAACACAACAAAAGAAATGGGGAATTGCAATATATATTAAGGAATGGCTAAAACCCAAACAAATTTATGCAGATGAGGAGGGGAGAATCTTGATAATGCAGTTCCATAAAAATAATACTTATCATGGCAATATACGCTCCAAACAAAAACCAAAAAGATTTTTACAGAAAAGTTCATAAAAAATAACAGAAATAGAATATGAATAGAATATGAAAATATATGTTTAATAGGTGACTTCAGTGCAATAACAGATATTTAAAAATGAAAGAAACAAGAAGAAAAAGAACATTACCAACTACATTCTTTGAAATGGTGCAGGAACTGAGTTTACAAGATGCATGGAGAAAAAGAAATACAGAGAACAAACAATATACCTTCTACTCCAACCCACATAAATCATGGTCAAGGATAGACATGGTCTGGATGACACAAGGATTGAGAAGAGATACAGAAGAGATTGAAATAATGATGAATACCTGGGCAGATCACAATCTAATAAAAGTGATATGGAAAGGACAGGGGGAAAAAAGAGATGGACAATGAACCAAAATATATTGAAAGATAAAGTATACATAACAATGGTAGAAAAAGAAATGAAACTCTTCTATAAAGTAAATAAAAAAGAAACATCACTACAAAATTCATGGGATACAACAAAGGCATACATCAGAGGACTGACAATAGCATATTTGGCAAGAAAAAAAAAAGAAACAAGAACTATTAGAGGAAGAACTTAAAAAATTGGAAGCGGATATGCAAAAAGATCCACAAAAAACCAAAGCAAAGAAAAGGGAGTTGATAAAGCATAAACTGAATTTGATGACACAAGAAGAAATGGTTCAGAAAATTAAAACAATTAAACAATATTTTTTTTGAAAATGCTAATAAGCCGGGGAGATGGTTAGCACACAAACTAAGAAAAGAAAAGAAGAATACACCATTTATAAGACGAAAAAGGAACCATACAACACTGGAGGGAAGAAAAATATATATAATACAAAGTTTCTTTGAAAAATTATACAGTCAAGGAAACATAGCACAAGATAACATTGAACAATACTTAAATAAGATGAATTTTTTAAAAAAATGGAGAGACAAAAAGAGAAATGGAAAATGGAAAAATTACAATGATGGACTTATTGGAGGCATTGAAGAGACCAAAAAATAACAAGACACTCAGCCCAGATGGAATACCTGTTGACTTGTATAAAAACATACAAGAACCAGTATAAACAGTAATGCTGGATTTGTACATGGAAGCACTTACAGAGGCTAAACTACCAAAAACATGGACAGAAGCATACATAACACTTATACCCAAAGAAGATTCAGATCATCAACAAATAAAAAATTGCAGACCCATTTCATTATTGAATACAGATTACAAAATATTCACATCCATAATTGCGGAACGATTTAAAAAAATACTAAATGAAATTATTCACACAGACCAAAATGGATTTCTACCGAAATGACAACTGAAAAATAATATGAGAATAATTATGAACACACTAGAATATTACGAAGCACATCCCGGGAAACAAGTTGCACTGGTGTTTTTGGATGCCCAAAAGGTGCTTGACAATTTGAATTGGCAATTTATTATTACACAATTAAAAAACATGCAATTTGGAGAGAAATTTGTGAAGATGATAGAAACAATTTATTCGAAAATACTTATAAATGGAGACATTTAATATTTTGAAACGAGTAAGACAAGGATGTCCCCTATCGCCTTTATTATTTATGTTAACATTAGAGGTACTACTAACGGAAATTAGAAGGGAACAAGAAATAAAGGGACTAAAAATTAAAAAATAAGAATATAAAGTTCAGGCGTTTGCGGACGACTTAGTATTCATATTAGAAGAACCATTAGAAACGGGGTCCAAATTAATACAAAAATAGAGGAATTTGGCAAAGTAGCAGGACTTAAAATTAATAAGAGCAAAACAAAGATTATACCAAAAAAATCTTACCAAAAAACAGGAGACAGAATTGGAAGAAATAATGGGCATGCAGATAACAAAAAAGGTGAAATATTTAGGAATTTGGCTAACGGGAAAATGTTCATCAAAGAAGACAACTATAATAAGATAATGCAAAAAAAAACCCTGGAAAATTGGAAAACACTGCAACTTTCACTTACAGGAAGAATAGCTGCAGTTAAAATGAACGTCCTGCCGAAACTTTTGTTTTTATTTCAAGTAGTACCAATAAATTAAGGGGAATTTACAGACTTAAACAAATTAACAACACAATTTATTTGGTTAGGGAAAAAACCACGTATTAAATTAAAACTATGACAGGACAGTAGAGAGAAAGGAGGGTTTGGACTCCCAGACTGGGAGCTCTATTATCAGACAGTTGCCCTTACTTGGATAAAGGACTGGATAAATTTAGAGAATAAAAGAATGTTAACAACAGAAGGACATGATTTAGAATTAGGCTGGCATGCTTTCATTTGGTATGGGAAAAATAAAATACACAGTTACTTCCAAAGGCATCAAATTAGAAACGCTCTATTGCAAACATGGCAAAAAATTAAAGGAAATCATAATAAAATTCCAATTTGGTTATCGACTGTGGAAGCACTAATCTATCCAAACGTACTAGATATAAATAAAATAATAAGATATGAAGATTTATTGGACAATCAGGAGAAATTAAAAACAAGACAAGAATTAAAAAAATCAGGGAATGTACATAGACCGGTGGCCATACATGCAGATACAGACTAGATACAAGAAGGACTTAGAAACAGATGGATTTAGAAACAGAAGGATTTTACAAAGAACCACAAAAATTAGACAAAATTTTACAGGGGGCGGAAGAAAAACTGATTAAAAAAATACAGGTAAAACTCAAAAAATTAGAATATCTAAGCTATATGTTAGTTTCACCTTTTAAGTTGCATTACTGAAATAAATGAACTTTTGCATGATATTCTAATTTTTCGAGTTTTACCTGTATACCATTATCTATTGCTATTTAAAATGGAAGAAGTAGTGAAAGAGACCATGATAATATGGGCAACAAATTTTGGACACAACATAGAATTAGAGAAATGGGAAGACCTATGGGAAATAAACTACAAACTAACAATGGCAACAACATACATACAGAGAAAACTTGTACAAAATATTCTACAGATGGCATTTACCACCAGCGAGAATAGCGAAAATGTTTCCGAACTGTTCACCGGATTGTTGGAAATGTAGCCAGGCCCACGGAACATTCTATCATGTGGTGGACATGTACAGCAGCAAAACAATATTGAATAAGAATAAAAAACTGGCTGGAAGAGATAACTACACAATCAATAGAACTAAAACCAGAACTGTTTCTATTAGGGATAATTACAGGGAATTATGAGAAAAAAATTCAATACTTAATACTACATGTAATAACTGCAGCAAGAATCATATACGAACTAGTATGGAATTTGTGGTACAAATGGCTAGAGGAAAAATGCAAAGAATAAGAGAGCATTAAAGGAAAAAAGATTAAGAAATTAGAAAACAATCATAAAACCGCATAATTAATAAGAGGGGGAGAAATGTAAGATATATTGTATATAAAATAGTACAGAATAATAGTTACAAGAGGAATATATGTACATGGATAGATATAAGATGTATATTGTATTAGTAGATGAACAATGTGTGTGTGTGTGTGTGTGTGTATACATGTACGGATAAAAAGAGTATAATGGAGGCTTACCGATGTGGAAATGTTGCAAAGATGATATTTGTGTTTAAAAAATGGAAAAAAACCTGTTTAATAAAAACATTTTTTTAAAAAAGAAGTCATTTTTTTCCATTGCCTTTGTAACTTTGAACGGTCACTAAACGAACAGTTGTAAGTCAAGAATGAACCTGTATTGAATAGGTTGTGAAGTTTTTCACCATACTCTTTTCCTTTCTTGCCAGAAACCAAAGGAACCACCATTGGAGCCTTCTGCCCAGACAGACAAGTCCCATCAGCGGGAGAAGTTGGAGCGCTTCAAGCAGATGTGCCAGATGTTGGAGCGGGTGAAGAACAGCAGCAGTTCCAGTTCCAGTTCGGACTCGGATTCTGACA